TGGTAGGCGCGATGAGCGTCGTGCCACCTGACCCGAGACGGGTCGCAGGCGTCGTACCGAGCGCGTCGAGACCGTGTCCTGATGTGATCTGCACGGGTGAGTCACGTCGGCGTCAAAGGAGCGACGTGCGACCTGTCAGAGCTCTATCAAGCGATCGCAGCTGCCTCTGCGCGTCCTGGGGATGTACCTTTGTCGCGCGCCGGAGACGACTCGACGCCGCTGAGATCGGAGATCAAGCTCTGACAGGTCGCACGTCGCTCCTTTGACGCCGACGTGACTCACCCGTGCAGATCACATCAGGACACGGTCTCGACGCGCTCGGTACGACGCCTGCGACCCGTCTCGGGTCAGGTGGCACGACGCTCATCGCGCCTACCAGCGCTGCCGTGCAGGTTGCCACGACGAGGTCGAGCACGCTTCTATACGCTCGCCGAGCCTTCCTTTCCATCCCATTAGGCAGTCTGGGAACGGTGGCGGTCAGAGGCAAAGCCTGCGAGGGGTGGTGGAACCACATGTCACGGCCACCGCCGGCTCGACCCCACGATAGCCTCCGGAGGCTGACTTTGAGGCACAATCATCGGACGACGTCGGCGAGTTGAGTCGCGCTCGCGGTAGCCAGATGACCTCTCATACTAGTATCATCGGCCATGGCCGCAGGAAGCGCGGGGGAGGGCGCTGGGAGCAACACGGAGCTCCGTTGGACGTTTTCAAGATTAGCGTGTCAGAGTGAAATGGAACTAGCCACAGGTACACCACGGGAGCCGCCTAAGCGACTCCTCTCTCCTGGTCCTGCGAGGGAAAGAATTCGACTGCCACGCCGAATTGTGTCTCCGCGCCCTCCGAGGCGCGGTCTCGGTGTCGCTTCCGCCGCTGTTCACTATTTTTATGTGCATAAGCTGTCTAATGAGCGCACCCGGTGCCTGGGTGCGGCTGCGCTTGCCTTGCGGGTAGCGGCGCGGGGCGCCGTTGCGCGCGTCTCCGACGCGCCGGCCCAGCGAACGGCGAACCGCGCGTTCCGGGGGGCGTGCGGTTCGGCCGTGGGAGGCTCGCGCCCCGAGGTCGGCCTCGACGCGGCTCCCTCGGGCCGGGCCCGTCGCCCCGCACCACCAGACGGTGGCGGGTACCCTCCCCGCCCCCTCCCGCGCTCAGGCAGGACCTCGACCCCGCCGGCCGCAGCAATCGCCGCGCTGTTGTCGTCGTTGTAAGCGAGGTTCCTCAGCACGCCCGCCGCACGCACCTTCTGCCCCTTAGTCCCGTCGCGAGCCAGCGACACGAGGACCTCCACGCCGCCGGCCGCCGCGATCGCCACGCTGTTGTCGTCGTTGTCAGAGAGGTTCCTCAGCACGCCCGCCGCGCGCTCCTTCTGCCCCTCACTCCCGTCGCGAGCCAGCGACACGAGGACCTCGATGCCGCCGGCCGCGGCTATCGCCACCTTGTTGTCGTGGTCGGCAGAGAGATTCCACAGCGTCCCCGCCGCGCGCTCTTTCTTCGCCTCATTCCCATCACGCGCCAGCGCGACGAGGACCTCGCCAGCCGCCGCGATGGCCATGCTGCTCTCAGCATCCATGGCAAGCTCCTGGAGCGTTGCCGCGACGTCCACCTTCTCGTCCTCGTCTCCAGCCCGTAAGAGGGCGACGAGCGCGTCCATCCGCCTGCTGCTGGCCTCCTCTCCCGACAGCCGCTTGAGCTCTCCGAGGGGGCATCGCCAGCAGTCTTCACGAGCCGCGCGAAGGCACCGCGCGGCGCGCAGATCAGGGACCACCGCTTGCACACGGCCGCGTGGCGCAGGCCCGTCTTCTCGAGCACGCACGGCGCAAAGGTCCGGGTCTGCGAGGACGTCGGTCGCGACGGCGGGCGGAGGGCTGTGGTGCGCGAGGAGCGCCTCGGCCCTCCTGTTTGCAGCAGCGCTGTCCCGCATCGCGCCGGCGGTGATCGCGATCAGGGCATCGGGCGGAAGAGCGGCGAGCCGCAGCTCGTAGCGGGCGGAGGCAGCATCGTGGTGGATTTGTGAAAGGCGAGCGTTTTCTCGCGCTTTTTATTTGGGCATGCCCCGCGCGCCTGACCCAGGCGCGAGAAACGAATCTGCGAGGCGTGGCCGCTTATGCGGCCCGATGGGGAGGAACGGGGCGAGCCCCCTCCAACCCACCCGCGCTAGGTCTCGGGTTTGACGCATGGGGTCACTCCCGCGAAACTCGTGAACTAGCCGGGGCAGTCGGAGAGAGATTTTTAGCAATCTCCTCCGACGCCCTCCAGGACGAGCTCCAGCGGAAGCTCGGCCTTTGGCTCTCCGTGGCGCTTCCCACCCTTCGGGTCGCGCTCGAGCGGGGCATGCCAGTCGATTTCTTCGGCGACTACCTTTACAACAAGGCCCACCACCGGCGGCCCCACGACGGCGTCCTCGCCGCCTGGGCGGACGCGATGCGCGCCCCGGCCAACGCGCCGGTCGTGCACGGTGACAAGGAGAAACCAGAGCTCACCCGGCAGTACAACGAGGGGTACAAGGTCGACCTCGCGGAACCCCACGCTGGCCCGGGAGGATGCGATGAGGTGAATGAAGTCAAGCTCTGGACGCCCCTCCTCAAGACCTCCTCGGCGGGCGTTGGCAACGCCTCGAGCGGCGGCACGCCCGCCTCCGTTGGCCACTCCTACGCCTTCGGCAACACCGAAGAGAAGGCCCGCCGCCTAAACATGGGCTGCAAGGCGCGCGCGGGCAACCCGGCCAACCCTTCGACCACGAGAACGGCCACGGCTACGTCAAGGCGCATCGCGGTTTCTACCACGACGCGATCTTTGTCAAGCGCAACAACTTCAACCTGCTGCTCCACGAGACGTTCGGCGGCGGCTTCTCGCCCACCGCCGTTCTCAAGCTGCGCCGCCTCGCGCGCAAAGCCGCGCGCGGCAGCGTCGACCGCACAGCCTACTCGCCCAAGTACTCGCTCTCTTTTATGTCCCACCATGCAGAGCGCATCTCTCTCTCTGTTGTGCGAGGCGTGAACCGCGCCATTCGCTCTCACCTGGCAACCCTGTCTGCACGTCTCGCGCGCGCGTGAACAGGGCTCCAGGCCCCAAATGACGTGTGAGTGTTAGAGTTGTTTGGCAGTCGGAGAAGGGGCAACTCCGTGCACTGACGGTCGGCCGCCAGAAAACACGCCTGCGCGGATCGCGTCACACCAATCCTCACTACTCAACGCGGCAAAGGATATCCACCTCGAGAACCTCGAGAGAGATATCCACCTCGAGAACCTCGAGAGAATGTTTTATCCACACCGAAGCTCAACGATGCCACGGCGCCTTGGACTCACAAAGTGAGCGTCGGTCTGGTGGTTCTGGTAAAGGTTGCAGTTCCCTCTATCCTCCCCGCGCCCCGCGCGATGCGGCGCGTGTTGGCCTATGCGCGAGCGTACCCGGCCATTTCGCCCCACATCCCATGCGCTGCAGCGCGCTCGTGCCCGTGCCGTGCTGCAACGCCCCGCGGCCGCGGTTCGTTCCGAGGCTCGAGCGACACGAATGTGGTGCACACCCGGATCGCGGGCGGAGCGACGGCCCAGCGCGCAGTGGCGAATCGCCTTCATGCCTACTGCGCTCCCGCGACGCCCGAAGCGAGCCCGCACCATGCTCATCCCATTTCACGATGCTGACGCTCGCTCGCCGTCGCCTGCGTGCTCGCAGATCCAAAACAAGGTGGGCGAAAGGAGCCGCCGCGCCTCTTGATGTTGGGCCTCAAGCTGCGAACGCTGCGAGTAGGTGCGGCCCTCTGGAGCCCCCCTTCCTCTCCATGCCCCCTTAAAAACTCTCTCTCTCAGAGCAGACCTAGGAGCAGAGAGAAGATAGTCCGAGACACTCGAGATCGCTCTCCGAGACTATGTCGCCTCCGCACCTCTTTGTGGAGGCGCTCTAGCGCTCGTCCCCACCTTTCGTACCACGCCCCCCGAGATTGCCCTATCATTCCCCCTCCCTATCAGACACTCCATCCACCCCCATAGGTACCAATCAACTCGATCAACATCTTCAAGATGTCGGAGAACGAGACGATGGTGGGCGGCATCGTGCCGGCCAAAGACGGGGTCGTCAAGGTCGACCTGTCCGCGTCGAAAAGCCGAGATCAGCCGAGATGTTGTCGATGAACGCCTGATTTCGTTAAGTGATCCCATATTTGATTCTTAGATGTCAGAACTCTTCTTGATGTATACGCCTGATGATATAGGACAACTCGATCAACATGGAGAACATCGTCGACTACAAATTGAAGGTCGGCTTCGGCGGCCGAGTCAAGGTCGTCCTCTCTTTTGCGTCGGAATCGCCCGCGCTCCTCGGAGCCGAGGTGCCTGTCTGTGCGCATGTTCAGCCTATCGGTACGATCTTCCCGTCCCAAGACGCTCCCCATTCTCCCTCGCGAGGCGTGCGACAAGAATGACGTCGTGAAGGACGTCCCCGAGGCCAAGTCTGGCTCGGAGGCCTCCCTTGACGAGAGCATCCTCAAGAAGGACCCGGCCGCGGAAAAGGACCCCGCCGCGGACGCGGTCGACTCGGACAAGGCCAAGGCCATGTTCTCCGCCCACGCGCCCAGCCAGCCCGCCGATTTCTGGTCCAAGCTTAAGCGCCCGGCCGCCGGCGCCATCAAGGGCGCCCTCAAGAAGGACATTCCTGCCGCAAAGTCTGGCGCGGAGGCTTCCTTTGACGAGACCGGCGGCATCAAGAACGACCCGGCGCTCAAGCCGGTCACCGAAGACGCGCCGGCTTTCAAGCCGGTCACCGCCGGCGGCGCGCCGCTGCCGCCGATCAAGGAGTTTTCAGCGGAGGTGCCCCGCGCTCCGGCGGCGAGCGCCTTGCATTCTGCGCCGCGCTTCTGCAGACCCACTCCTCGACCTCCGCCCCGCTTTCATTCCGCAGGGCGACGCCGACTGGACCGTCTCGGCGGCCAAGGAGTTTCCAGCGGAGGAGCCCGCCCCGGCGGTGAGCCTGCCTCGCACGCTGCGGTGCACATGCGGAGCTCAACTATTGACGCCCACCGCTTGCGCGCGCGCAGGGCATCGCCGACTGGACCGCCCCGTCGAACCCGCGCCGCAACAACGGGCGCAAGGGCGAGGTCAAGTCCACGACGGTCTCCAACAAGTACGATCTGCTCGACGACGTCGAGACGAACCTCGCGGCGGAGAACGGCGAGGACGAGGACGAGAAGAAGTCGAAGAAGAAGGGAAAGGAGATGGGCGCGGAGTCGGGCAAGGAGTCCGCGGCGCGCCCTCCGCCCGAGTGTGTCGGTGGCACCGGCAAGGCGCCCCGCGGCTCCACGCCGTCGACCACACACTCGGTGCTCGCCGCCTGCATGCGCCGGCCTCCCCCGTGGCTCACAGCCAAGCCTGACGGCCACGCCCCCTGTTCAGGGCGCGACGGTCGAGACGACCACGACCGCCACGCCGGAGGGCTCCGTCTCCGCCTCCGGCTGGCTCTCGTGGCCCAAGCTCTGCTGGCACAACGCGCTCTGCGCCGTCTTCATCTGCCTCATCGCGGTGAGCGCAGGCGGCGGGGCGTTCGTCTACTTCTCGCACGGCTCTGACAGCCTTCTCCCTTCGATTGTGCCCGACGCGACGGCGCTCCCGACTGAGCGCGGGCCGCTGTTTGCTCCGTTCAACCCCACGCCGGACCCGGTCGTGCCCGACCCGCCCGACGTGGTGAACGACCCCGCCTGGCTGATCGCCACCTCCGGCTTCTGCTCGAACCTCAACGTCGCCATGATCGAGCGTGACATCGAGGGCAGCAAGACGGCTGGCGACAGGGACGGGCACTTCATCGCCGACATCGAGTTCAACTACTACCCGCAGACGGCGGTCAAGTTCACCGACTTTCCGTACCACATTGCGAACACCATCGAGGGCGACAAGGACGAGGCGGACGCGCTCGTGTCGCCCGCGTGGGACCACAAGAATATCGCGCTGCTCGAGCCGACGTCCACGTGCGGCGTTGACGAGCAGAGCAACCAGGCGTGGGGCGTCTCGGTCTTCAAGGTGAAGGAGCACCGCGCGTGCGCCGACGGCGAGACGGCGTGGGAGGGCCACCCATGCGTGCACTACTCGGGCTACGTCTCAGCAGAGACATCCAACTTTGTCAATGTCAACGAGGGGAGGTTCGTCTGCCAGCTCTTTGTTGACTCGGCTCCGTCAAGCTGCGCCTCTGTTGGCGACTGCAGCGAGGATGAGTATTGTACGGCAGTATTCACGTGCGAGTCCTGCCCGACAGGGATCCGGCAAGGCGATTCGTGGCAGTTCACAGAGACAGGCATCTGCGTGTGGGACTGCTGCCACGACGATGGCACGTGGGACGGCACCTCCGCCGACAAATGCAGCAGGATCCAGAAAGGAGGCGCGTGGACGAAATTGCCCGAGTCTGGCACCTGCGCATGGGGCTGCTGCAATTCCGACGGGACTGATGCCATCTTGTACCAGCAGAAACGCTACTATGCGGCATTGGATCCAGCATTTCTCACGTTACAGGCACCCCTTCTCGCACTGCAACTGGCCGAGATCATACTCCCGGGAGCGAACATTGCTCGCAAGTACTTTCCAGAGATGAACCCGATGAAGATTGGCGACGGCATCGGTCGTCTCGCCGTTGGCCTCAGCGGCTGCTCGTCGCCCACGACAAAGCGCGTGGGTGCTTACTGCTACTTTCCGGAGAATGTCGAGGGCGGTGTCGTCGGCTCCGAGGTGACGTATGCTCACAACGACGAGCTTCGCACCTTTGCCACGCTGATGGTTGCGTACAACGCGGCCAGCTACATGTACGTCAACGGCTGCGCCTCGTGCGGGCAGGCATCCGATGACGAGTTGGGCCATTTTGGCGTCACCACGCCCGGACTCATCGTCCTCGGCAGAGCCGACATCTTTGAGACCACTAGTGATCCTAGCGACTTTTGCGAATCGGCAGACCCGAAATATCCTATCACTTACGACAATGATGCGCAGCTGACCTTTTGCACGCCTCCCGATTCACCGCAGCACGAGTGCGCTTCCATCTACCATTACGAGCGAGCCAAGGACCAGATCGTCACCCTTGCCTTTCGAGGGTCAGAGACCCCCGACATACACTACCTCCACACTGGAAGAGCCAAGCTCGAGGATATTGTTGGCGATTGGCTCGGCACCGATATGAGCGCCAAGCCCGTCTTGCTGGACCCCGCCATCTGTCCTAGCGGTAGAGAGAGCGGTGTTGTCGTGCACGCAGGCTTCCAGGCTGCATGGCTGCAGCTCCGTCACCGTGTCATCCCTGCACTCCAAGCGACGATCGACACTTTGGAGTCCGCCCGCCCGGAAAAGCCTGTCAAGACACTCCTCACAGGCTACTCGCTCGGCGCTGCCGTTTCGGCGGTAGCAACGTATGACATCTGGTGCAATCTGGGAACCGGCGGGGCCACGTCGCTGAAACACGACCTGTTTGGTACCATCAACTTTGGCCAAGTCGCCATCTTTTATGGCAACGTGAGCACCGTTTCCGGACACCGGACTCCCGCCCACACCACAACGTGATGTAGAAGCAACCTCTTCAGAGACACGCCCAACACAGGCCCCACGCAACCATGATCTCACCCTGCTAATCGAACACGTAGGCGGATCACTATGAGGCAATCGTGCCAGTGACAAAGCGCATCCGCATCCAAACCGCGTCCGCGCAGCAGGATTTGCTTACGCTTGGCATCACGCGGTGGTACACAGGAGATGTCGTTGGCGCGCACCTGCCGTTGTGGAATTACGTTCAGCCAAAGGGCGATTATCAGGCCTCCTGGGTGCGAGTGGACCACGCCTTTGATGAGGCGCAGCCGCCTCCCCTAACGAACTGGTGCGATTCCTCCGATGATTGCAACGGCGACGAGTACTGCTCAGCAGCCTTGAAGTGCGACTCATGCCCGACGGGCATCCGCCGCGGCGACGTCTACGAGTTCGAAGAATCAGGCCCATGCTTGTGGAAGTGCTGCCACTCTAGTGGAGTCGATGCACTGGGTCTTCCCATTGCAGGGACGGATGCCGGGCGGGATCGAAGGTGCTCCACAGGCATCACCAGCGGGGATCGTTATTCCTACCAAAAAACCGACACATGCGTCTGGGGCTGCTGCAACTCGGATGGAACGGACCGAGGCTGGAGCACGCGTTGCTCCACCGGCATCACCACTGGGCAGAGCTATTCGTATGAGCAGAGCTGGTGGCCCTGGTGGACTGTAAGTGGCACCTGCTTCTGGGGCTGCTGCACAACGAAAGGCTACGACGCAGGCTGGGACTACTACTGCGACGGCATCCCCAATGGCGACACTTGGCAAAAGACTGTAAGTGACACCTGCTTCTGGGGCTGCTGCACAACGACCGGCCTCGACGCAGGCTGGGACTGCGACGGAAGCAAGCTGAAGCAGGGGGAAGTTTGGTCGAGGCAACGCAGAGACACGTGCAAGTGGGGCTGCTGCAACCGCGACGGAACCGACGCCAAGGGGCTAGTCTCTGCATTATTCGGCTATCCATCCTGCTACGGGCCCATAGGTGGTGGTCTTTGCCACATGCTGAATCGATACATGCAGGGGATGCGCCGCAACAACACCAAGTACAACGGGGGGCTGTGCAAGAAAGTGGACGACCCTGACGACGTGAAGGGCCTCACCCCAGAGGCATTCGGTGGCGGCCAAGGCGACTACTGAATGATGACTCCAGTGTCTCGCCGCGGAGTGAAACCTCTTTATTCGGGGTGAATCCGGGACGGAAGAGGTTTTGTGCATCGTCGTCTCCTGCGTCTAGGCCAAGTTTGTCGGCGGGCTCTGTGATGTGGGGCGCCCGAGAGCCCCGAGCCCAACAGACATGAGACATGAATGCATCGTAGAGAGTGCTCGGTGTGTCGGCTCTCTCCTGGTGGTGGCATGTTTCTGTCGGGGCCTGCATGTACGGTAGGCATTCCTGTGACTTGTGGCCGCCTGGCGCCGTGCCCGCAAAGGAGCCTGCAAAGGCGGGGGCGATCGGCGAGGCGGTGGCGCTCGCACCAGCCGTCTTGCAGATGTTCACACTTCGCCCGCTCTCGGGCAGTGCTGGCAACGTTCTGACAGTACCCTACCCACAAAAAGTGTTCTGACAGCGTTCTGACAGCGTTCTGACAGCGTTCTGACAGCGTTCTGACAGTGTTCTGACAGCCGTTCTGAAAGCTTTCCGACGGTAATTTACAGTTAAGACTCACCATCTGGTCTGATTAAAGGAGAGCGATATCAGTGTCGGTTACAGCAGAAAGATTCCTTAATTCTCTCCACTACAAAAAAAGTCCGGTGGGGAACCGACATCATGGCCCCGAATGCCGTGGTCTCTAGGTAATCTGCGGGAGCTCCACAAACCAGGTTACCTCGGTCGGGGTAATGTCTCGACCGGCCGTGCCGCGTGCCGGGCGATGGTCGCATTGCTCATCGCCTTGTTCGCGAACGCGGTTGCGATTCTGCTCGTATGAGCGCGACTCCTCGTACACTCCATATACATATTTTACAAAAGACGTGCCATAATTATGACCGACAGAAGAAGACATCGAGTGCGATGCAAAACATGCCAAGGCGATTCGATACAAAGGTTGAGTGTATATAATATCCAAAACATCGCAAAGCAATGTATCCATGTGTGCAAATCATCCCCAAGCCCCTGGGAGGAGAGTCACGTCGGCCATTCGCAAGGTATGCTGCATGGTGGCATATCTGCACCTTGCCTTGAGAATCTTACGACGAACTCGACGAGTGGCTGTCACAGCGGATTCAAATAACCTCGGCAGGTGTGAAGGCCCGCCTGGTTTTGGACGATCTACGGCACGCTCCACCACGTGTGGCCGTGCCGTAGCGGCCATCTCACCACGCTTGATCGCCGAAGGAGTCAAGCTCAATGCCTTGGCCCCAATGCTCGTTTCCATCGTCTGCGGCGTTACACATTACCTTGTCGCCCTTGGAGTACTCGCAGACGCGCGTCATCCAGACCTGCCCTTGTCCGTCAGACCTCAGCGCGAAAAACTTGAGGTTAGGTGGCGGCACGGTGCCCCCCAACTGGTCACCAGCATTGTTGTCGCAGAAGCAATTGTGCGTGCTGTCGCCGGTGAAGGGCTCCAAGTTGCGGTTTCCGGAGTTGTCCTTGTTGCAAACCCATGGGTAGAGCGTGAGGGTGGCGTCCGGTTCTCCGCCCAAGGCCTGCTGCACGCCTGGGATGTCCTTTCCCAAGTTGTCTACCGAGAGCTCGTCCCCCTTGACGATCGTGTCCCACCACTCGAAGTTTTGGTCGGCCCAGCCGCTGGTGCTCATCCACCCGCACCAATACCAATCGTAGTTCATGTTCGTGCCGGGGTGCTGGAAATTGCAGCCAATCTGCTCGGTGCCATAGGGATGAAGGTCCGTGTCCTCCAAGTTGCAGCTGTTTCCCTTGCCATTGCCGGGTGCCTCGTTGCCATTGAAGCCCTGCGTATCGCCCGGATCTTTCAAGGGGCCGAGCTGCTCCACGAAGTACGTATTCCCTATGCAATCCGTCTGGACCCCCGCGCCGTCGCAAGTGTGAAAAACGAAGTAGTTGTCGGCCCCGTCGGCCTTGTAGATGCCCACGTCGCTGCTGTCCCCCACGTAGTCTTCGTTCCCCACGCAGTCGTAGGGCACGTTGTAGGCCCCTGTGTTCGGCCCGTTCGCCGCATCGTTCGGGTAGACCATGAAGTCCCAGGGCGTGCAGGAGAAGGGCTTGCTGCCGTCGCAGCCGTCGACGTTCATCTTCCGATTCGTGTCCGGGCACTCGATGGAGTAATCCCACCCCACCCCAAGGGAAGGGGACGCGACCAAGCCGGAGGTGGCGATCAGCCAGGCGGGGTCGTTCACCACGTCGGGCGGGTCGGGCACGACCGGGTCCGGCGTGGGGTTGAACGGAGCAAACAGCGGCCCGCGCTCAGTCGGGAGCGCCGTCGCGTCGGGCACAATCGAAGGGAGAAGGCTGTCAGAGCCGTGCGAGAAGTAGACGAACGCCCCGCCGCCTGCGCTCACCGCGATGAGGCAGATGAAGACGGCGCAGAGCGCGTTGTGCCAGCAGAGCTTGGGCCACGAGAGCCAGCCGGAGGCGGAGACGGAGCCCTCCGGCGTGGCGGTCGTGGTCGTCTCGACCGTCGCGCCCTGAACAGGGGGCGTGGCCGTCAGGCTTGGCTGTGAGCCACGGGGGAGGCCGGCGCATGCAGGCGGCGAGCACCGAGTGTGTGGTCGACGGCGTGGAGCCGCGGGGCGCCTTGCCGGTGCCACCGACACACTCGGGCGGAGGGCGCGCCGCGGACTCCTTGCCCGACTCCGCGCCCATCTCCTTTCCCTTCTTCTTCGACTTCTTCTCGTCCTCGTCCTCGCCGTTCTCCGCCGCGAGGTTCGTCTCGACGTCGTCGAGCAGATCGTACTTGTTGGAGACCGTCGTGGACTTGACCTCGCCCTTGCGCCCGTTGTTGCGGCGCGGGTTCGACGGGGCGGTCCAGTCGGCGATGCCCTGCGCGCGCGCAAGCGGTGGGCGTCAATAGTTGAGCTCCGCATGTGCACCGCAGCGTGCGAGGCAGGCTCACCGCCGGGGCGGGCTCCTCCGCTGGAAACTCCTTGGCCGCCGAGACGGTCCAGTCGGCGTCGCCCTGCGGAATGAAAGCGGGGCGGAGGTCGAGGAGTGGGTCTGCAGAAGCGCGGCGCAGAATGCAAGGCGCTCGCCGCCGGAGCGCGGGGCACCTCCGCTGAAAACTCCTTGATCGGCGGCAGCGGCGCGCCGCCGGCGGTGACCGGCTTGAAAGCCGGCGCGTCTTCGGTGACCGGCTTGAGCGCCGGGTCGTTCTTGGTGCCGCCGGTCTCGTCAAAGGAAGCCTCCGCGCCAGACTTTGCGGCAGGAATGTCCTTCTTGAGGGCGCCCTTGATGGCGCCGGCGGCCGGGCGCTTAAGCTTGGACCAGAAATCGGCGGGCTGGCTGGGCGCGTGGGCGGAGAACATGGCCTTGGCCTTGTCCGAGTCGACCGCGTCCGCGGCGGGGTCCTTTTCCGCGGCCGGGTCCTTCTTGAGGATGCTCTCGTCAAGGGAGGCCTCCGAGCCAGACTTGGCCTCGGGGGCGCCCTTCACGACGTCATTCTTGTCGCACGCCTCGCGAGGGAGAATGGGGAGCGTCTTGGGACGGGAAGATCGTACCGATAGGCTGAACATGCGCACAGACAGGCACCTCGGCTCCGAGGAGCGCGGGCGATTCCGACGCAAAAGAGAGGACGACCTTGACTCGGCCGCCGAAGCCGACCTTCACTTTGTAGTCGACGATGTTCTCCATGTTGATCGAGTTGTCCTATATCATCAGGCGTATACATCAAGAAGAGTTCTGACATCTAAGAATCAAATATGGGATCACTTAACGAAATCAGGCGTTCATCGACAACATCTCGGCTGATCTCGGCTTTTCGACGCGGACAGGTCGACCTTGACGACCCCGTCTTTGGCCGGCACGATGCCGCCCACCATCGTCTCGTTCTCCGACATCTTGATGTTGATCGAGTTGATTGGTACCTATGGATGGGGGTGGATGGAGTGTCTGATAGGGAGGGGGAATGATAGGGCAATCTCGGGGGGCGTGGTACGAAAGGTGGGGACGAGCGCTAGAGCGCCTCCACAAAGAGGTGCGGAGGCGACATAGTCTCGGAGAGCGATCTCGAGTGTCTCGGACTATCTTCTCTCTGCTCCTAGGTCTGCTCTGAGAGAGAGAGTTTTTAAGGGGGCATGGAGAGGAAGGGGGGCTCCAGAGGGCCGCACCTACTCGCAGCGTTCGCAGCTTGAGGCCCAACATCAAGAGGCGCGGCGGCTCCTTTCGCCCACCTTGTTTTGGATCTGCGAGCACGCAGGCGACGGCGAGCGAGCGTCAGCATCGTGAAATGGGATGAGCATGGTGCGGGCTCGCTTCGGGCGTCGCGGGAGCGCAGTAGGCATGAAGGCGATTCGCCACTGCGCGCTGGGCCGTCGCTCCGCCCGCGATCCGGGTGTGCACCACATTCGTGTCGCTCGAGCCTCGGAACGAACCGCGGCCGCGGGGCGTTGCAGCACGGCACGGGCACGAGCGCGCTGCAGCGCATGGGATGTGGGGCGAAATGGCCGGGTACGCTCGCGCATAGGCCAACACGCGCCGCATCGCGCGGGGCGCGGGGAGGGGCGAGGGAACTGCAACCTGAACCAGAACCACCAGACCGACGCTCACTTTGTGAGTCCAAGGCGCCGTGGCATCGTTGAGCTTCGGTGTGGAAAAACATTCTCTCGAGGTTCTCGAGGTGGATATCTCTCTCGAGGTTCTCGAGGTGGATATCCTTTGCCGCGTTGAGTAGTGAATTGGACGATCCGCGCAGGCGTGTTTCTGAGATTCTGACGGCCGGCTGTTCACTCCCCCCTGAGCTCGTTCACCGGCGGGGCCGTCGCATGGCGGCGCCGCAACGCAAAAAGGGACGCGAGGAGAAGAACCGAGCTTCGCAACCCCACATCATTCGAGTATGACTTGTTCATACCGGTGGTGAACAAGTCATACTCGAAATTCAGTCGTTCTCGCCGTCGCCGAGACTCACGTTTGAGGATGAAGAGTAAAGTGCTGTGTTTGCGGAAGTGGAGGTGTGTATGGTTCTTGCACTTGTGCAAGATTGCTGATTGGGCGTCTTCTGCCGCAGTCCCGGCTTTCCGCTTTGATCGGCCGGATGCGTGGACGGCCATGAGGCTGCGACGCAGATAAGGGAAGAGGTGATATTGCCAGCGGTTATAATAATGCGTTTTTCCGCCGCCCCTAGCTATGCGGCTAACGACTATAGCGCTATGCTGATGGGCTGAGCCGATTGATTAAATTATTTAACATGCGTGGACGGTTGACAATTTGACAGACTGCGAAGAGCACTCGCCACTCGCGACTGTCAGTTTGAGCGTCTGACGTGAGGGGCACGGGGCAGTGCAGGGCAGCTGGTTGCACATGCCGGGGCTGCACGGCTAAGACGAGTTTTTCGCCATCGCAGCGAGCAGCAAGCCACTCGCCGCAGCAGCCGGAGGCATCGCCACGGCACTGGCTGCGCCGCGGTCCCGCACCCGTCGGCGACGCTCCCCCCGCGGAAGACCGCGCGTAGCGACGCCTTGACGATCGAGATGAGCGCGCTTGAAGCTCGCCCACCTACTGCCCCTGAGAGTTGGTTATCGAGTGGGCTCAGCTCCCCCCCTTGGGATCGAAGCTTCCACGACCTCGCACCCAACACCACAGGCGGGATCAGAGAGAGACTCCGCACCGGACACCGCCCGGTCTCTCTCTCTCTCTCTCTCTCTCTCTCTCTCCCCGCCGGCGCGACGAGTGCCGCCCGCGCGTCCGGGTCCCGTGCGCGGAGTTCATTTTGGAAGGCGCTGTTTGGCAGGTGGTGCAACAGGTGCGGACAGCTGCGGACAACAGGTGCGGACAACCGCTCGTTCTCCACGTACGAGCGCCGAGGAGCAGCCAAACGTCACCGGCGCTCCCACGCCACCCCACCCGTTCGTGCCGGAAGCAGCGGGGCTGATGCCGCGTCCATCCTGACGGAGGTGGCGGCCATCTCGGACGTTCAAGCGGCGCCAGCCAGCGGCTCGGCCGCGCATCCTTCACACACGCCGCCACGACCAACCTGAGCGGGCCCGGTGTCGAGCCATGGTGCGAGCTGCATGTGAGGGGCGGCTGTGGCCACAGCAGGTCCACCAGACGGACCTCAAAGCTTTTGCCGTCGGCGTGCTGTCGTGGCGAGAGCGCGAGATCGCTGCAGAGGAGCCAAGTGCAGTGACGAGCCAGAGGCTACCTGGGTCACCAAGTGGAGTGGACCCTGCCCATTCTGAGCAGGGCTGTGCTTGGGTGGGGTTGTGCTTGAGCATGTGTGAAGTGGGAGTGCGTGCCTGCGGTGTCTGTGGGTGAAACAGGCGTGTGTGAGGGCCGTAAGAGGCCTGGTATGAGCCAGAGTGGGCTTCATCACCCAAGATAAGGACGGTTTGGGACAGCTCAGGCTTGATACTGATGGGCCTGGGCCAGGAGAGCGACAGAGAAGGCGAGGTGGTGAGCTGGGAAGCCGCTTTGTCGGCACCTGGACGTGTCGCGATGAACTGCCAAAAAGCACCTTTGGCGGCTATTGCTCAAAACCCTGGGAGAGAAGGCCTACATAGTATTACTGCATCCATGCGTCTGGTGCATGTGGGCTGTGGGTCGGGACATTTCACGGTCGGTGGCGCCGATATTGACCTCCGGAAAGCCCTCGCAATCGCTCGGCACGCGCACGGGGCCACCGGGAGTGCTCTCGAGCCCTACACCGGAGCATCACGAGCCGGTGCGAGCTTGAAGACCCGAGATAAGTGCGGTCTGGGACAGCTCAGGGTTGCTACTGATGGGCTAGGCCAGGAGAGCGACAGAGAAGGCGAGGTGGTGAGCTGGTAATCCATCGCAAGCGACCCGGAGCGCGCAACCGCGCATCTCGCCGCCGCGGGGCTCCGACTGGTTATCTAGACCTTCCTTCTTCCTCCCTGTTCCTTCCTTTCCCCTTCCCATCTCTTCCCGGCCTCCGGCCGGCGCCTGCGGCGCCGTTCTTTTTTCCCCCTTTTCTTGCACCACTGTAAAAAATGGAAAAAATGGAGGGGGGAGCGTGCCGGACGGGGCGTCGTCGCGCCGTCCGATGGTCTGCTGCCCCGCGCAGCAACCGTCGGGCGACGACCCGGGGGCCAAAAACCCGGCGACGACGGCGCTCTGGATGGGGCGTGACCTCCTGCCTCCAACCTCCTTCCTTTTTGAGCAGGTGTGACGCCGCGCGAGCGACGCTCCGAGATCGCCCGAGATAGCGCGGCGCGGCCCCGAGATCGCCCGAGATAGCGCGAGATCGCCCGAGATAGCGCGGCGCGGCCCCGAGATCGCCCGAGATAGCGCGAGATCGCCCGAGATCGCGCGGCGCGGCCCGGGCGGTCTCAGCCCTACCTGGCCGTTCTATATTATAGAATGGCATCCTATAATGTAGAATGGCGTCTCGCGCGCGCTCACCCGGCCGCCTCGCAGCCCCAGCGGCCGGGGGGCGCTTGCCGGGGTTGAGGCTGGTCACACACAGGCGCCACTTTAACGCGGCGAGCCAGAGGAGTCACACAGGAGAGCCCCCAACACGCCACATTTTCAGCAGCAGACGGGCCGCGGTGAGGGCCCATTCTACATCGAAGAATGGGGTCCGCCGCCGTCCCCCACGGCCTCCTCACGCCCCCAGCGGCAGTGTGCCGCTCGGCCAGACTGGTGGGGTTCGCGACAAGCGCCAGTTCAACACAGAGAAGCCCAACAGTCCGCAAATGAGAGTCCTCCCCCCCGCCCCGGCAAACCAGAGCAGACGCCGGGGGCCGCGTATGGCGAAAGCAAACGCACGACGGCCGCCGGCAGCCGTTGAGCCGCTGCCGCCGTTCGAGCCTTGGATGTCCGTCCGTCGCCGCCTGTGGCGAGGGCAGTGGAAGTGTGAGATTTGTGCTCGCAAGTGGTGGGCGGGCGAAAGGGTCGGGCGGCAGAAGTGAGCAGACAGCGCGAATGCGGTCTACCTATGTCACATCTACTCCTCGTGTCACCTAGTCATGGTCCTCGCTTCCCTGCCCGGTCTCCGAGTCCTGCGCCTCGCCTGAGTCCTCGTCCAAGTTCGAGTAGTCCTCTCCTCGTCTTCGTCCTCGTCTTCGTCCTCTTCGTCGATCTCGTCGAGCCGGGTGGCTCCTGGCCCGTCCCGGCCGTGACGCTGGGGCCGACTTGCTAAGCGGGCGGGGAGACGGACCGCCAGCTCTGCTGCTGCCTGTGCTGCCCGTAGTCCTCGCCTGCGAGCGAGTGCCCTTTGCGGGGCTGTCGCTCAGAGAGCGGGTGTCGCCACGGCCGTCTTCTTATCTGGTTTGTGGTCTGCGCGCTGCGCTGCGCTGCGCGTCTCGAGGCGCGCCGCAACACAGCCCGTGTAAATGGGGTAATGGATAAACCAAGCATCCCCGATGGCCGGGGGGATGTCCCATGGCCCCGGGGTGGCCGTGGGCACGCAGGGGGCGCCGCTACGGGCCGCTGCGGCGCCCATTCTATTTCGAAGAATGCCATTCTGGAATATAGAATGTAGGTCTGAGACCGCGGGGCGGGGTGGATGGGTTGGGAGCGAGGGGGCGGAAGTGCTCAGTGCGGTAGATGGTCAGCTCGAGGCGCGTGAGCCGGACTTGGGAGCCGGACCACCCCCTCTTGAACCCTGCGTTGTTGAGCCAGGACTCAACATACTCGGGCTGTCGCCGTCCCAAACTGTCACTCCCCTCTCTCCCGGCCGGGGTGGGGCGCGCGCGGGGGCGGCGGGTGTGCGGCGAGTGTGCGGGATGTCTGTGGGCCCGAGAGCGATATGCCATGTCCGCCTTGCGTTGTTTCATAACATCGAAGGCTAAGCTCAAAAAAAATGCCTCATTTTGTGAACTGAGTGCTTGCCCGTTGTGGCTGCTTTCGCAACCTCCGTCACCGTGTGGCGGACGCTGCCACGTCGACCCGACCTTCGCAGCCCATCCTGTTCGCGCATGGCCCTCTCCGGCGCCATCATCGCCACCGCCTGCGTCGGCTCCGTGTACGCCCTCCGACGGCGCATGCTCGGCCGCGGCGAGGGACGGGGACGCAGTCTGGCGACACTCGAGCCGCTCCCGGACGTCGCGGCGCTGAGTCCTCTGGTGCTGCGCATCCTCGGCGGCAACCCAGGCCTGTATACGCTGCAAGGTACCAACACGTACCTCGTCGGCAGCGGAGAGAGCCGGATCCTGATTGATGCCGGCGAGGGCAGGCCAGACTACCTCCCGCGGCTGCTATCTGCCATGGAGGGCGCTGGCGTGCGGCGCGTGAGCGACGTGCTCATCTCTCACTACCACCGCGACCACACGGAAGGGCTGATCGAGCTGCGGCGGCACTTTGGCCCCTCGCTCCGCGCGTGGAAGGTTGACCCGCCTTATGCTGGCGCTCACGGGCCCTCCGCCTCGCCGGTTTTTGCAGAGGTGCGCCCGCTGCAGGGCGGGGAGGTGCTGTGCACGGAGGAGAGTCACCCACGCGCGACGCGTCTGCCTGATCCTTGCGACACGCCGAGGCAGGAACGAGTCACACGTCTGTAGGACGGCTCAGCGTCGCTTCGCGTGCTGTGCACCCCGGGCCACACCCCGGACCACGCGTGCTTCGAGCTTCGCGAGGAGGGCTCCGTCTTCACCGGCGACTGTGTGCTCGGCGGCTCCTCCGCGGTCTTTGAGGACCTGCACGACTACATGACATCGCTGAAGAGTGTGCTGGCGGTGGCGCGGGGGCGGCTCTACCCCGGACACGGGCCTGTGATAGAGGACGGCGCCGAGGGCATCCGCAGCTACATCGGCCACCGCGAGGCGCGCGGGGGAGAGGGGCGAGGCTCGGCAGAGGCGGGAGAGGAGGTGGGGAGGACCGCCTCGTCGAGCCTGTGGCCCTGGCGCAAGAAGCGAGCATCCAAGCCGCACGTCGGACGCATTGACGCTGCCCTCCTCTCAGGCGCGCGAGGCGCAGATCGTCGCCGCCCTCGAGCAGACGTGGTGGTGGGCCCTGGAGCTCGTCGTGCGAGACCGCGGCGCGCCTTCTCACCCCGCCTCGTGCTGCCCAGGTGCGGGCTCTCGCCACTGGGGCTTGTGCGCCGCGTCTACCCGCGGCTGCCCTGGACGCTGCGCCTCGCCGCGGCGCACAACGTCGCGCAGCACCTCCACGCGCTGCAGAGGCAAGGCAGGGTGGCTCGCCGGGCGTGGCTGCCGCTGCCCCGCGGGTACTTCCGCCTCATCGCGATGCTGGCCAGCTGGTGGCGCCTTCTGTGAATGAGTAAGTGCACGGCGGCAGCGGCGCCGTGTGTGGGCGGAGAGCAGCAGCGGCAGCGGAGCAGCGGAGCAGCAGCGGTAGCGTTAGGTTGGCGGTCGCTGTTCAAGTGGCGGCGCTCCTCCAAACTTGAGTGGGGGTGGAATCCGGGCGCACGTGGCTCGGCACGTGGCTCGGCATCAGAGGCCTCGCTGCTTCCCTGCGCCGCCACCAAAGACGTGGAAGAGTGCCACCGTCGGGTAGGACGGGTCGGCCCGGAGTATCAGAGTAGCCGTCGTGGTCGCGGCGAGCAGCGCCGGCCACTCCGGCGCCGCGTCGGCAACGTGGGAGCATGTCCACCGCCACTTCGCGGTCGCAGCGCTGTATACTACTAGTACATTCCCGTAGGAGGACTCTGCTGACAGGGTTATTTTGGGGCGCTGTCTACCCCCTACTTACTAAGAGCTCCTCCGTATTAGCCGAGCGGCACGGAGGCTACAAGGCGGGCTCTCGTGGGGGTTCAGGCCCGCCTAGCGTCACTGCGACGTCGGATGGCGCGCGGGTCGCTGTGCTCGTGAAGCTTGATAAACGGGAAGTCAAGATTCTCCTTGCGCACGGACTTCACCTTGTGCTTCCACAGGGCAAACTCGAAGTTGAGCTGGTCACGCATGCAGTCGGTCTGCACCATGGCATCCCACCACCCGTGCATTGCCTGCTGGAGCGTGGGGCTGTTCCACCGGCGCGCGAGAACAGGGCCGGCGTTTTTTGATCTCTGGGTCAGTGGGGGGCCGAGCCACCTCGGGGTGGCGGGCGGGCGGGCGTTTTGAAAAACAGAAAACAGAAAACAGAGGGGGGCCAGGGCCCCCACTACGATTAGACACAAGCACCTGGCTCCTGGGACACAGCGAGCAGCAGCAGCAAGCAGTTCAGCGGAGAAGGGGGGGGGGGAGGAGCCGAGGGGGTGACGTCCCGACACGGCAGGTTGGAGCTGACCCAGGGAGAGAGAGAGAACAGCGATGGCAGCCCCCAATGACTGTAGACAGAAATGACGAGCCGACAGCGATGCAGCGGCAGCGAAAGCGGCGAGGAGGGCCCGCTGCAGAGCTCCGCTGGGCGGCAGCAGAGACATCGGCGGACGGGGGAGCACGCTGGACACGTCGGCATAGGAGCCAGGGGGGTGGGCTGGGCCTGCATCATGAATGGGCCTGCATCGCATGATGGCGACGGCGGCGTCGTCCAGATCCTCGTTGTCGAGGACGGTGCCGGTGCCCGAAAACTCCGTCGTCCGAAAGCACTTGACAGTGCTGGTTGTGAGCTTGCCAGCAGCAATCTCCGGCTCGGCTCTCTCGAGTGCGTCGCTGACAACAAGGGAGAGAGCCACCTCCGCCTCGTGCATGCGGCCCGATTGGTGATGCTTCTTGCCAAGACATACTAGTTTTTTGGCGTTCCGGTGCCTACAAAAATATCCGAGATCATATGGAGCTTACCACAGGGTTTGCGGCGGTCACTGTCCTACCAGCGGACACAGTGGGCCGCGGACACCCGTGATTGACCTTAATCTTTTTATATTACCCAAAAGCTAGGCCCACAACGCCCTCTATGTTGGGTCAAGGCGGGCGCCTAGAAGAAGGCGCCGCCCCCCGAGGGGGAATCCCACCCGTCCATGTATGTAGTAAGGTGAAGAACAGTCAGGCTCGGACTGGACACCAACGCGGTATGGGTGGACGCAAGACAGATGATGACGACACGCACGAGCGACACACAGACACAAACAAGCTCACAAGACCCGTCCCCCGAGCCCCCGTCGAAGAGCGCGTCGAAAGCGTCGTCGCCTTCGTCGTACTCCTCCGCGTCAAAGCACCGGACCGGTTCCCCCCGTAATCTCTTGCTGTGCCTTTTGTGGTGCTAGTTCGTGCCAGTCTGCTGTGAGAGGGGCTTGTATTCGAGAGGGGCTTTCATAGTTAAATAATCTTTTGAGAGAACACTGCTCGAGTTGTCGGCGCCGCTCGTCGGTCTGCTCCGTCGCCCATCCCAAATGCGTCGCATCAACGAGGCGGCGGGCCGCGCTGGCGCCGCCATCCGAGATCTGCAGCCTCGACGCGGCGACAGCCCGTTTGCCGCGAGCCGGCCGAGCCCGACCCGGCGGCACTCCGTGGGGAGCCAGCGGCACTCGGGCTACTCGGCCTCCAAGGAAGGCAAGGAGAGCCCGGCGAGCTCGCGCCCGTCCAAGCCGACGCTCTCCTACCACGGCCCGTTTGCCGCCGAGCTGCTGCCCGCCGCGTCGGCTGCGGCGAGAGCGGCGTACGAGGCGACGTTGTCGATGACGAACGATGAGCTGCAGCAGCTTGCGGAGCTGGTGGCGGCGGCGCACTGTGACCGTTCCACGTACCTCTCGACGGAGGCTTGGCAGTTTGGCACAACGGCGTACGCCATACCGGGGAATGAGGTGTGCGCAGACTGCGGGTCGTCCGAGCCGCCCACATGGGCTGCGATGGTGGGGGAGGCCGACGCGGTGCTGGTCTGCAATGAGTGCTGCGGCGGCCACCGCGCCCTCGGCGTCCACCTCTCGGCGCCTCTCTCCCTCAAGATGGACCGGTGGAGCGACGAGAAGCGCCAACGCCTTCTTTCCTCGGGCAACCGCGCCGTCAATGCGACGCTGGAGGCGCACGCGGCGGCGGCGCAGTGCAAGCCGAGCTCGGAGGCCGACGTGTCCGCGAAGCACGTCTTTGTGCGCTCCAAGTACGAGCGCCGCGCCTTCGCCGCCGAAGGCGATGGCGAGCTGCTGCCGTCGACGCCTCCCGGCAGGCGGTGCGCGGGCGGGGCACCGCAGCAGGTGCACGCGGGCATCCTCATCGTGCGGCTGATCCGCGCGCACGACCTGATCGCGGCGGACTTCACCGGCAAGAGCGACCCGTACGTCAAGGCCACTTGCGGAAAGGCGAAGAGCAAGACGAGGGTGATACGGCGCACGCTCTCGCCCGAGTGGAATGAGGTCCATATCTCCCCATATCTCCCCATATCTCCCCATATCTCCCTCTAGCATCGCCGCGCTCTTTGTGGTGGGCTGCCTAGACCCCCATATCTCCCCATATCTCCCCATATCTCCCCATGTCTCCCCATATCCGAGGTGCTCCGGCTCAACGTCGAGGACGTGCGCGACGTGCTCATGCTGCAGGTGAAGGACAGCGACACGATCGGCAGCAGCCCGCTCGGCGACTGCAGCCTCAGCCTCGCCGAGCTCCGGCACAGCCACGGGACAGAGCCGTCGCTCGAGTCGCTGTTCACACCGCACGACCGGTGTCTTCTTTTTATAGGCCCAACCACGGGACGGAGCTGTCGCTCGAGCTGCAGAACGTCCGGTCGGGCCGCCTCGTGGCGGAGGTGACGTGGTGCCCCCTCGACGGCTAGCCGAGGCGGGCATGCGGCGGGCGGTTGCCGAGCCACGCGGCACATGCGGCATGATAACGAAACCTCTCCTCGTTTCTGACAGACTGTACACGTCTGTACTGTGGGCTCTTGTCATGGCTCTTGTCAGTGGCTCGTGGAGTGGCCTCGTGTGTGTCGAGTACTTTCAATGTAAATAAATAAATAAAACGGACACCTCTACTAGGAGATGGGTAAAAAGGAACAGGTCCCCGCCCTGCGGTCTTTGTGCAGGGTTCTTTGTGGGTGTGGTCGGCGACTAGCCGGGGTCGTCCTCCCGATGGGGGACTAGCACTAGCCGTCTTCCACATGGTCCCTCGGGTCCCTGCTGCTCCTAATCTCTTCGTACATCCTCCTGCTGATCTCCGCAACGTCCTGCTCCCTCCCTCGTCTCGCCCTGCGCGACTGCTCCGCCTCACCGTCGTCCGCCCTGCGTCGTCTGGTGACGTGGCGCTCGAGCGCCTCCTGCGCGGCCGAGCCGGCCGCCTCGCCGGCGGGGCGCTCCGGCTCCGATGGCTCGGGGATCGCCGCGCGGCTCTCGAACGGGCTGCCGGAGCCAAAGGAGAAGGGGGACGAGCTTGCCATTTCTGTGGAGGGGGCGGGTACGTAGAACAGATAAGACGTCCTTCCTTGGCCACGCAAGTTTGCTTCGGACAAAGAACGCCGTGCCGGCAGCCCGTGCCTTTTGGTGTACCCCGTTTGTGCCGCGTCCTGTGCCCCCGAGTTCATTTTATAAAGAATTACACTGTCGTCAGAGCAGATAGGCTCGACACAGGTGCGAACTGGCGCGTGCTAGCACTATCACAGGCAAAGAAAATAGAAGGTTTATTTGAATATCGCGCCCTAGACAGCTACGGGCTGCCCCCCCCTCCCCCCCCCGCCGCTCCAGCCCGGTCTGCGTTGATTCTCGCGTGTGCACGGGGGACGGCGGACGCGGCACGCGCACATGATGTAATTCATCATGTCCGGCCCACATGCACACACGACACACACGACACACCTCGGCGGTCGCGGTCCCGCTCGGACCTCGCGGGACGCGGCGCCAGGGAGAGCTGAGAGGCGCGGCGGCCGGCGCGGGGATAAATAAATAAAACGGTCAAACTCTGAGAGAGAGATGGGATTTTTAGGGACATGTGTCTCCCCGCACCCCGCCCTGTGCACGATCGTCTTGGACTTGGTGTGGCCGCGGCGGGGGACAAATTGCTCCGGGTTTATTTACGCACACGCACGGCGCCGTCAGCGAGGTCGTCATCAGTCCAAAACTCCACACACACAGTACGAGTCTCACACGCCCTGCCCGCCTCGCACCCGCCGCTTCTTGCCCGCCGCGTCCTTCCCTCTCAGCGTCGCGGCGAGGTCCGCGGCGCTGCGCTCCTCCGCCGGCTTGCGCTTGGCCGCCGCGGGGCGCGCCGCCGCCTCCTTTGGCGCCACGAAGCGCGCTTGCCGCTTGGCCGCTGACGCCGCCGACGCCTCGGCCTGCTTTTGGTCGCGCGCCTCCTGCTTGCGCGCGCGCTTCTGCTCGTCGGACAGAAAGTACTCGCCAGACTCGAGCTGGAGGTCGACCTTGCGCGGCGTCGGCGCGGGCGGGAAGGGCGTGTACTCCCTCTCCTTGCGCGCCTGCAGGGAGGAGGCTCCGAGAAGGCTCCGAGGAGGTGCCGGGAAGCGCGGGTGTGCTCCCCCGCCTTGCGCGCCTTGCCCTTCGCCTTCTTGCGCTGCACGTTCTGCTTCTTGAACTTTGGCAGGAAGCGGTCCTACGGGAGCCAGCACACCACGGTGGGCCAGGCTGCGAGTGCAAGCGCGCGAGGAGGCCCTTCGCTCGCCCTCGCTTGGCACCCCGCGTGCTGCGCGTCTGACCGTCACTGTGTGCGGCCGTGCGGTTTCGGGCCCGGGGCTGTGCTGTTGTGTGAACGGCGTCTCTTCACACCTCTGCCTGGGGCTGTGCCGTTGTGTGAGTACAGCCGAACGCGCGTCCGATCCGAGTTGTCCTCGGAGTACAAGAGCACGTATTCCCCTTCTAGGGCCCGAGATACGGGGAGATACGGGGGGATGCGGGGAGATGCGGGGAGACATGAGGAGATGCAGGGAGACATGGGGAGATACGGGGAGATACTGGGAGATACCGGGAGATATGGGGAGAAACGGGGAGAAACGGGGAGAAACGGGGAGATCTGGGGAGATCTGGGGAGAGCTGGGGAGATATGGGGAGATCGTCCGCATCTAGGGAGGCGGTCCCACGACTCCTGCTGCAGCGTCGGGTCGCGCTCCAGCTCGCGCTTGATCATCATCGCCTAGGAGGTACAGCCGAGATATAGCCGAGATCTAGCCGAGAGCTAGCCGAGAGCTAGCCGAGATGTAGCGCTCGGTCATCCTCGTCCGGGAAGTGTCTCGGGAGTGTCTCGGAGGGGTCTCTTGAGGCGCCTCGGAAGTGTCTCGGGGGTTCTCGGGGGCGTCTGGAAAGAGGGTCGTCCGGGAGACAGGCAAGCGGGCGCGGGTGAGGGTGAGGGTGAGGGTCAGGTGAGGGTCAGGGAGAGGGTCAGGTGAGGGTCAGGGAGGAGGGTGAGGGTGAGGGTGAGGGTGAGGGTGAGGGTGAGGGTGAGGGTGAGGGTTTGGGTCTCGCCTTGATATGGTACACGGGGTGGTAGTTGCGGAAGCAGTCCTCAACCAGCTTGCGCACCTGAGGAGCCAGCAAGCTTGGACTCCGTCCTTGGCCACTCCCCTCCCCCTCCTCCTCCCTCCTCCTCCTCCTCCCTCCCTCCCCCTCCTCCCTCCTCCCTCCTCCCTCCCCCCTCCCCCCCC